CACACCGACTGGAACCACGCCCTATTCATTGGTATACGGCTGTGAAGCCGTGTTGCCTTTAGAGATTCAAATCCCATCCCTCCGCGTCGCCCTAGCAGCAGGGATGACGGTGGAGGATAATCACCAATGACGACTCACAGAGCTCGAAGCGTTGGATGACAAGCGACTAGAAGCTCAACAGCACATTGAGTTCTATCAAGCCCGAATGGCCAAGGCTTTCGACAAGAAAGTCAAACGCCGAGCCTTCAAGGAAGGAGAACTGGTACTGTCCGTTCGCCGACCGATGATCCTCACTTCCAAGAAGAAGGGGAAATTCTAATCCAAATGGGAAGGACCGTTCGTAGTAGAGACAGTCTCTTCGAATGGAGCCTATCGCCTCGTCAAGCCAAATGGCGATAAGATCATGATGCCCATCAACGGCAAGTACCTGAAGAAGTACTACCCCTAGTTCTTCTTCACCAACTCCCACGAGTGCATGAGTTTAAACTAGCCCTCACACCCTCCAACTGGTATAAGAGATAAAACTGTTCCTACACTTCCATTTCTTGAGCCAGGTTACCAATACAGGCGAACCGCTCAGATCAGACTAATCGCTCAGATCAGGCGAATCGCTCATATCAAGCAAGCGTATCAGTCTAGGCGAAATCCACTCCTTGAGCTAAGTTCCCTGTCTTGGCGAATCTCTCAAAATAGGTGGGACTAGCATCTCAGGTAGGCAGCATCAAACGCCCACTTGGTCAAACCTTCAGATAGTTAGGACCAGAGCCACAGTCCCCCGCTAATCCTCTTCTAAAGGATGGTGGGTCCTCAAAGTCGTTCTAATCATGACAGCCCCTATCAAGTTAACATTAAACCTCTGAAAAAATCCACTTACCAATCCTCTTCAGAAGGATGGTAGGTCCCCACAGTTGCTCCAATCGCGACAAAACCCCATCAGGTTAATGATCACCTCTGATGATTGGCGCCGTTATTCCTACGAGTAACGTAGCCCGAGTAATGGCCTACCACGTGACGTGTTTTTACTTCTGTCAATAATCACACTCCTATGTCCCTGAACTACTTGACCTATTCCAGATATTCTAGCATTCCCTTAGGGTAACTGATGGGTAGTAGCCTACCACGCGACGGCTCCTACAACAATCAATCGTCACATTCCTACATCCATGAACGATTCAATTATCACCTGTGTCGTCGCCTACCCA